GCAATTGTTGTATGACACTGGTTGTTTTATGTTTAAAGTCATGATCACTAGTCAAGATAACACTGCTATGTTATATTTTATCCACAAACATGCATGCTCAGACACGTTTTTGTCAAATATTTTCCAGTTCAGCACAAGTATTAACCGGGCCTCGTGATGAATTTTAAAAAAGCACTGTGTGTAATGTCAATAAAAGAATAGGTTATCTACTGGTTTATATGGTTCTTTTGAACGTACTGTAGATAATTGTCTGGCATTCACACCACTGAAACAGAAGTTGATTTGCCTTGTTGCAGTACCTCTGGGAAGGGCATCCTGTCCGGCCATGCTGACGGCTCGATTGTTCGCTACTTCTTTGATGATGAGGGAACTGGAGATTCACAGGTATGACTAGTCCACTGTGACCACAGATGGGGAGTGGACCAAACCTCAAGGTTCTATATATGCAGTTTGTTCATACATGTACTGTACAAAAGTAATATGGTACACCTAAAGGTGGTTTACTGCATGTACAAAACAAACTGCAAATACAATGCAAAACAAAGCAAACAAATCAAAACAAACAGAAGAAATCAGTTGTTTGTCTGTCCACAGGGAAAGATCTGCACCCATGGCTGTCCTCCGTATGCCCTGGCCTGGGCTGCCAACAGTATCATGGTGGCAGGATGCGACAAGCGCGTGATTGTGTACGGGAAGGACGGGCGGTCTATCCAGCAGTTTGACTACAGCCGTGATGATGATGAGAAGGAGCTGACCACGGCCGTCTGTAGTCCCAGTGGTCAGTCAGTGGTCGTCGGCAGCTATGACAGGTGATGTTACTTTAATCAAGTTAGCCATCAGAACTCTGGAAAACTGTCCAAGGCCCTAAAAAGTCCCAGAATGGCTGGATATAATGTGCATGACAAGGTGTGACAAATGTTTAAAGGGTCCAAAAATATATAGTTTCGGGTGGTTTGAAATAAATGTTTTAAATTATCCAAGATTTTAACTCCAACAATGGATTTTATACATTATGTAATAGGCTGCGAGTGTACAACTGGAGCCCCAGGAAGGGCCTGTGGGATGAGGCTAGGCCAAAGGAGATCCCTAACCTCTACACCATCACTGCACTGGCCTGGAAGAAGGATGGGTCCAGGCTAACTGCTGTGAGTATGATATACAATATAGATACTGTTTCACTTTGATAGCCATGAAGACTCTATGGAACTGGCCTATTCAGTAACTTGAGTAAGTAGTGTTACAGTAAACAGTGACTTTAACATTGCATCCTAATTCCTATCATCAAAAGAAGTATTGGTATAACCATGATAACTACAAGGCAAAGTCATGGCACAGTGTTAATGGACACCTGCAATTTGGCTGTAAACTGCAAGGTGGCACTTTTGTATTGCTTTATGTGTTTCTGCAATCTCAACAGGGGACCCTGTGTGGAGGAGTGGAGCTCTTTGACTGCTGTCTACGGAGGTCCATCTACAAAAACAAGTTTGAGATGACATATGTTGGGCTCAGTCAGGTAAGAAAGCACCATTTTTGGCTTGATAATGCACCAGCTGATATTTATAAATAGTCTTTGTGTTGCTAAACTGGTGACTTCAAAGAGGACAATTCAAGAATTGTATGCTCCCTTTCTATGAAGCTTGTGGAAGAACCAGGTGGTAGTCATGTGGTCCAGTATATGGACAGTACATTTACCAAGTCGACATAAAGTTTGGTACAGATCTTTACAGACCAGATATACAAAATATTTGATGGACATGCAGACAATCTCTCATTGTTCGAATCACGAAATGCTATTCGCCCACTGGTGAACTGCTACATGTAAATGGATTGTGATGGACAGTCAGGATTGGCCTGATTTAGTTACCAGAACTGTAGAGAAAGGAATCATTTCATTGAAAGTCACAGCAATGTGAATGGTCCTTTGCAGGTCATAGTGAAGAACCTGTCATCAGGCACACGTGTCGTCCTGAAGTCTCACTATGGCTATGAAATCGATGAGGTCAAGATCATGGGGAAAGACCGTTTCCTGGTGGCACACACCTCCGACACCATCCTTTTGGGCGACCTCAAGACCAACAAGCTCAGCGAGGTTCCCTGGCAGAACACAGGAGGCAACGAGAAGTTCTTCTTCGAGAACGAGACGGTGTGCATGATCTTCAACGCGGGGGAGCTGACGCTCGTGGAGTATGGCGCCAATGAGATCCTCGGCTCTGTACGCACTGAGTTCATGAACCCACATCTCATCAGGCAAGTGTTGGTCTTATCGGAAATCTTCCTCAATGACAGTTGATAGCAGGTAGATGGGGGAAAGATTGACAGGCAGAATGAAAGGAGGTCAAAAGTTCAGACACAGGAATTGGGGTGAACATGAAGGTCCCAGAATCTAATCTGGCTGGGAGCCAGCAGGAGTTAGAGGTCGACCCTGCACAGTTTATATCCTGTTCCCAGTACATTACAGAATAATCTCAAAACCCAAAATACTTCCCGTAAGTCTGAAATCTTTATTTTACTGATAAATGTAGTATAGAAATATAGTATATACTAAAAGTTTGATCATCATAGTCACTCTCTATTTGCACTACAAGTTAAGAAGCTGAGGTACTAGTAACATTTTTTGTGTTCCATCCCCAGTGTCCGACTGAACGAGAGATCAATCCATGGACAGGAGGATAACAAGAAGATGGCCTATCTGATGGACATGAAGACTATCGCCATTATGGACCTGAACATGGGTTACGCCATCTCCTCCATCAGCCATGACTCTAAAATAGACTGGCTGGAACTCAACGAGACCGGGCGCAAACTGCTCTTCAGAGATAAGAGGATGAGGGTAGGTGTTATACAAAATCAGACACAGTAGTGTCTTTTGGGAGGGAAGCAACAAGAGAGCGTACTTTAAGACTGGCATCCAGGCTAGTGATTTTCCAGAAGAACTAATATATCTAGAGTAAATCTTATTGTCAGTAACCATAGTAAGGGCATCCCCTCTAGATAGCTGGTGTGCTGTGCTATGTAGGAACATAATACATAATCTGATGTTATATCATATAATCATGATATTATTAAGAGTTTTAGTTAAAGATATTTTTGTCCTTTTCAGCTGCACATTTATGACCTGGAGTCTCAGGTGAAGACCACCATGCTGAACTACTGTTCGTACGTCCAGTGGGTTCCCAACAGTGATGTGGTGGTGGCTCAGAACAGGGGCAACCTGTGTGTGTGGTACAACATAGATGCACCAGAGAGGGTCACCATGTTTCCTATCAAGGTATCTATGAAAAGCAACACATTATTATATTATTTTCACTCGATACATGTATGATAGTGAAATATATTGTTTTACAGCCTGACGTTACTTCTCTTTCTTCTCCTTCCACTTGGTTAAATGAATTCAACTCAATCAAAGCCACCTGGTTGGCATGGAGGTAGAGTTGGTCAATATCCAATAACGACCATAATCATTTTTTTTTCAAAATTTGATATTGTTTTTGCCATTTTCTGACAAAAAAATTTTGGCACTTGTGCCTTGATGTGAAAACCAAATTGTCCTGAAATTTGGCGTAGTGATGCCTTAGGGTCCCATTCACATTTTTGTATACACGGACCTCCAAATGATTTATCTGGGGAGTTTTTGCTATTTGCAGAAGGAAACACTAAGTTCTGTTTTCACATTGTTCCCTCCAGGGCGACATTGTTGACTTGGAGCGTAATGAAGGTAAGACAGATGTGATAGTGAACGAGGGCGTCACCACCATCTCCTACACCCTGGACGAGGGGCTGATTGAGTTTGGGACAGCCATTGATGATGCAGACTTCCCAAGGTTTGTCATTCCAACAGGACAGACACTCAATACCTTAAGGCATAAGTTCAGTTGTGCAGTAAGTACAAGCTGTGCAAGACCAGATTGTACTTACTCTATGGACCTAGTACTCTTTTCAGTAAGTGCGGTGTGTTCTTTAACATGCTCCTGGTGTAGCTCAGCATCAAACAGGGGACTTCTGGCTCAAGTAAAATTCAGCTTTGCCCATGATTATTCAAAGTTGTTTTACTTGTTTGTGCCTTAGCATTACTCTGAATTTAATAGTATTTTTCTTATAGATTACATACAGTATATATATATGAACATTAAAGTAGTCCAGAATATGCAATGTGGCAACTGTACATTTGCTATAAACTTTCAGTCTGTGGTCATCATCTGTTGTTTCAGAAGTAACCTTACATGTATGCCATCTATCTGTTTTCCTCAGAGCTGCAGCTTTCCTGGAGTCCCTGGAGATGTCGTCAGAGACAGAGGCGATGTGGAAGACCCTGAGTAAGCTGTCCCTGGAGGCCCAGCAGCTGCACATTGCCGAGCGCTGCTACGCTGCCCTGGGAGACGTGGCCAAGGCCAAGTACCTGCAGGACGTCAACAAACTGGCAGAGAAGGCTGCAGAAGACATGGTGAGGGGCAAGTTGTGTGTGTGTGTGGTGCTCCACCAAGGGACACTGTCTACAGTGAAAAAAGTAGTTCTCTTCCTTGAGAAAAGCATTTGTTCTTCAGAGAAAAATCTGTTCAGTCGTCAATTTTGGTACAATCATGGAACATGACTGATGTGTACGTGCAGCTCTAGCCAGTCAACATACAAATGTACTTTGATAAATGAAGACAAAGAAATTGGACAATTGAAAGGTTCATGATAGCATAGCCCATAGAAATTTGAGGTTGGCACTGTAAAAGAAGCTAAGAAATTTTCTGAAACACAGGGAGGTGATGGTATGGACCACTACGTGGTGCGTGCGAAGCTGGCCATGTTGGACAAACAGTTTGGTCAGGCCGAGGCCATCTACCTGGAGCAGAACGAGATTGACAAGGCCATGGAGATGTACCAGGAGCTGCACAAGTGGGACGAGTCCATCTCAGTGGCAGAGGCAAAGGTACACGACCTGTGCTGTGGTTTTTCTCTCCTTAAAACCAATTACCTCAGTGAATAGAGGTGTGTGTGCGTCTGTCTATATGTTTTCTTGTGTGCCTGTAGTTATTTGAATAAAGTAGGGTCAAAGAGGGGAAATGGTGTAACCATTTCTACCCGGTAATTCCACATCATCTATAGATGAACTTCAAACTGCTGGTCTGATAATATCCCCTCCTGCAACCATGGTAAATTTAATGCTTGTTTGTTTGTTTGTTTGTGAGCAGCACCACCCTGAGCTGGAGACCCTGCGCAGGAACTACTACCAGTGGCTCATGGACACCAACCAGGAGGAGAAGGCTGGAGAGGTCAGTAAAAACTTTCCTAGTTTTATAGGTCTGAGGTCATGCCTTTGAAGACATTCTTAAACTTGCAACCTTTTTTCATACATCATCTTATTGTCCAATAACATATCCTGCTGTCTTGCTGCCATGACCAGGTGAAGGAGAATGAGGGAGACTACATCGCAGCCATTAACCTGTACATGAAGGCAGGGCTGCCAGCCAAGGCAGCACGGCTGGTCACCAGTCATGAGGAACTGCTGTCCAACACTGACCTGGTCTCCAGGATCGCCAGCGCACTCATCAAGGGAGAGTTCTATGAGAGGGTGAGTCTTAGAAAAGTAGATCTAAATCTAGATGGTTGTCTGGCTGTTTCAAAAGTGTGAAGCATGGCTTGCTTGATTGATTTGCATAACTCAGTCTGGTAAACTGCCTTTTTTCATGCCTAACACGCAAGTTTTGTAAGATTTGAACCACTCACACCAGGATGGCCCCCTACTTAGTACTATTTTTGATATGTGTAGTGGGGTCTTAAACATATGGTTGAGTTGTGGCTCTCATCAAACACAGGACATCTGGCTGTATGTCCTGTCCAAGATCACTGTGTAATAATCCTACCTGTTTCCCTGTAGGCTGGAGACATGTTTGAACAGATCCGACAGAACCAGCGTGCCCTGGAGTGTTACCGTAAGGGCCACGCGTACCGGCGTGCTGTGGAGCTGGCGAGGATGTCCTTCCCTAACGAGGTGGTTCGTCTGGAGGAGGACTGGGGAGACTGGCTGGTCGCACAGAAACAACTGGACGCTGCCATCAACCACTACATCGAAGCTGGGTACAGCCTTTTCTGTGTATTGTCACTGTGGCTAAATACATTGATACTTTGTGTTAAGTTTTCTTTAAAATGTGTATTACATTGAAATTCTTTTTGTTAATTTACAAGCCAAGTAAGTAATTTACAAGCCAAGACTGTACAGTTTCCAAGATAGTTTCTCTTCTAACAGTGTATTCTAAATACTGTAAATCTTGAAATGCTCACAATTTTGTTTTAAATGCTCACAATTAGTTTTATTGCATTTCCAATGTATCCTACAGAATTGTTTCATGGAACTGAAAACATTTGGAAAACCTCCTTCCCTTCCTCCATGAAATTTTAAGAGTTAATATCCATCCTTCAAAGCTCCACACCTGTCTTAAACTATATCAACTTTTTTTCCTCAGCTGCTCGCTGAAGGCCATTGACTCTGCCATCCAGTCTCGGCAGTGGAACAAGGCTGTACAGATAGTGGAACTCCAGGACCCATCTGTAGCAGCCAAGTACTACTACAAGATAGGCCAGCACTATGCCTCCATACAGGAGCTAGAGGTAAGGGAGAATTTTTTATTTGTCATGCTTTGGTGATGATCAGTTAAGGCCTGTGAATAAAGGACATTCCTGTACATGTGTGTTCCTGTATATGTATGTGTATATAAGTTGTAATAGCTGAGATGTTTCTCTTCCTGATGATCCCAGACTGCAGAGCGGTTCTTTGTGAAGTCAGGCCACACTAAGGAAGCCATCGAGATGTACACATCATCTGGCAAGTGGGAGGCTGCACACAAGGTGGGGACTCACTCACTGTGTTTACGTGTCTATTATATTATTCTAAGACTTGTTTGTGGCAGAAGTAACAGTTCTTGAATACTTACTATATATATTAAACTGATCATCATTTCGATATCCATTTTAAAAAAATGTAAATTAAGAGTCTATTACTGTACTGTACCGAACTGTATAATTATTCTGTATGGCATTGTAGACATTTAACAGTGCCTAAATTCTGCTTGTCCCTGTTGCAGCTGGCCATGACATGTATGAAGCCTGAGGATGTGGCAGTGTTGTACATCACACAGGCTCAACAGCTGGAGTCTCAGGGTCGTTATAGGGAAGCAGAGAGGTGAGGACTCAGCCTGTCATATCTGGGATGCATGATAATGTTGGATACTGGTGTTCCGGACTAGTCTGTATTTTGTGGAATCTCTCAGGCTTCTACTTGAATTCCTTAAATTTTCTGATTGACAGAATGGCATTTTTTTTGCTGACCATTTCTCCCATCGTAGGTTGTATATCACAGTGGATGAGCCAGACCTGGCCATTACTATGTACAAGAAGTTGCGTCGCTATGACGACATGATCCGGCTGGTCCGTCTGCACCACAAGGACCTCTTACAGGACACACATCTCCACCTGGCCAAGGTATGGCTTGGATTACTACAAATGATTGCAGATTGAAGCAGTTAAAGTGATCTCAATCAGCAGAAAGAACATGCAGCGTACGACAGTCAACTGATAGATAAGATGAGATTTCGTCATATAGCAACAGTATCCAGGTACATAGTTAATTAACTCAACATTCCTAAGTCCTAAAGAGAACCCACTACCTACTTAACAAACTCTGTGTGTCCCCATACAGGAGCTGGAGAGTGAGGGGAACTTCCGTCAGGCTGAACACCACTACCTGGAGGCCAAAGACTGGAAGTCTGCCGTTAACATGTACAGGACTAACGACATGTGGGATGAAGCATATAGGGTGGGTCCTTTTGTTGTCTCTCACTCTGTCAAACTTTTTTTTTGTGCCAGAGCATGCAAGTAATTATCAAACCTTTTTGCAGTGGTTTTATATTTGCAGTTTTCACTGTGATTAGTCCAGCAGAAATTCACTATGAGTATACACTTCCAATGAATCTAAAGAATTGTTTCAACTGCTGGTTTAAAACACAGCAAAAGCTTCCTTTTCCCTCCTAACACAAAAAAAACACTGTAGAAGTAAATGAATTCATAGTATGTTAAGGCCATCTGGCTGAGAATGACCCATGGACCTAAACCTGTCTTCCCAGGTCGCCAAGTCCCATGGCGGCCCAAATGCTTCCAAACAAGTGGCGTACCTGTGGGCCAAGAGCCTGGGCGGAGACTCGGCTGTCAAGCTGCTCACCAAGTTTGGGCTGCTGGAGGCTGCAATAGACTATGCTGCTGAGAACTGGTATGGATGTCTTCTACATTTTCTACCTTCAAGTTCTTTTCTTTAGGCTTTCTACTCACTTGCTATATACATGTCACAACTCCCAAGTGCCATAAAGACAAATACATCAGCTCTATATAGCTCATGGTATTTTTTGTCTCCTAAACCCCCCATGGTTATTGCTAAACTAAGAATAGTAGTTTGTTGTCAAATTGATATGGATCTTGATGTTTCATTTTTAGCACTCTCCATCTCTAACAATCATACTGGTTTTCCCCACAGTGCCTTTGACTTTGCCTTTGACCTTTCCCGGACTGCAATGAAGAACAAGTTACCAGAAATCCACCTCAAGCATGCCATGTATCTGGAGGATGAGGTAAGATTTTCCTTGGAACAAAGTAGTCAGAAATTAATTTTTTTCCATGTTTGTAAAATCATGGAGTCAGTCATTTTCCTTACTTCTCTTTCCATCATTATCTCTTCAAGTCAACGTTTGTATTTTAGAGAACTTTAACGTAGAACTTTTGAGATGTCTCCTAGACTATTCCAGTCTTTTGTTGCAATGTTTTGTACTAGTACCACTAATCCTGATGTTGTGATATTGCTTCCTGCGACAGGGTAAGTTCAAGGAGGCAGAGGCAGAGTTTGTCAGGGCAGGAAAGCCTAAGGAGGCTGTGCTGATGTAAGTTCTCTTTTTGAACAGTTCATCAGCATCATTTACATTCTATTTATTGAATTGAAGTTCAAGAAGACTTTTTTGTGGTTGGATATATTTAGATTTTGATAATGTTGCAAGACTCAATGTAGAACATATTGTCGTGATAGAAATTGCCAAAAGCTGGCATTTTCTGTTTGCACTAAGACTGTCCTGCTGTTCCCCAGGTACGTCCATAACCAGGACTGGGACGCAGCACAGAGGGTTGCTGAGGAACACGACAAGGACAGTGTGTCGGATGTGCTGGTTGGTCAGGCTAGGTAGGGAGAATTCATACTTTTGAGATTGCTATAGTAATAGAGTCAAGTCAAAAGGCCTGCCTTACAGATACATAATTCTGTACCAAGCTGAGTGGTACTTTAATTAGCTTTTCAGTTTTTTACAGTTACTGTTTCCTTTGTTTAGGTACGCGTTTGAACAGAAGGATTACCAAAAGGCAGAGACGTTCCTGCTGAGGGCCCAGCGTCCAGAGCTGGCTGTTAAATACTATAAGGTATGTCATGATATTATGATGTGTCAAAACTATATTTTTCAGAGCTCAGTGATCATAGCTTACAGAATAGGTAATATCTAATGAACGAAGTAACGTGGCAGCAAATGCTGTAATCTGTATAAGAAGTAACTAGGTAGTGGGTAGTCAAATTTCTGTAGCACGGGTGTCAGATAGATATAACTTATAAAGGTCAACAAGTTTACATTTTGTGTTAAAACAAAAGTTTGCTACACACATCTCATCTTTGTCATTGTCTCTGCATCATTCTTTTCCATACATGGTGTGGTCAGGAGGTAGGTAACACTTCACTCTTTGCTGAATGTGCATTTTCCTCTAAAACATTCAGAAAATTTGTACGTCATATTTCTACACATCTGACATATTCTGTAACCCTGGTGGTAGAGCTGCTCTCTGGTTTGTGCCCAATTCCTGAGTTTCTTAAAGTTTGCCTTTTAGGCACTACCACTGGAAGTGGTTGACCCCATTTAATTACATCATACAATCCCCTCCACATTTCCAACACATTCACAAAACACAGAGGCTTAGTCTCTTCTTTCTTGTTGTGACTGTTCAGGATGCCGGGATGTGGTCGGACGCCCTGCGTGTGTGTAAGGAGTACATCCCCCACAAGCTGCAGCAGCTGCAGGATGAGTATGACAGGGAGATGCTCACTAAAGGCAGCCAGGGGGCCGACGCCCTCATCGAGCAGGCCAAGGAGTGGGAGTCCTCAGGAGAGTATGTCCGAGCTGTGGACTGTTACGTCAAGGTCACTACGGTCCACACACAAGACCCTGGGGTGTTGGAGAAGTGTTGGAAAAAGGTGGGAAATAGTCCTATAAAATGTAATTCCTCAAGTAGAAATGTTACCTACATGTTCCTTGAATATCCCTTAAAATTCTGTGTATTTAAGATTATGAGAAGATGCATCATTTACTTAGCTTTTCCTTCTCCTAGGCTGCTGAGTTAGCCATGAAGTTCCTGAGTGCAGAGAAAGCGGTGAAGGTTGTTGAGTTGGTGGGCCCTCGTCTGATTGATATCAAGAAATACAACACGGTCAGTGTGCAGCTGTATCCTCAGACCTACTGTTACACTCTTTTCAGTCAGAAGAGTCATCACTCCATTCATTACAGAATTTCATCATTTTATTTTCATTGTGTGCCTACATTGTATTACCCTGACTGAGCAAGTGCACTAACATGGAGTTCTGCAATGTTCTGATAGGTGGCATCAATGTAAGATATGTACAATGTATTTTTTGCAGGCTGCTGAGCTATATCTGAGTCTAGACATGGTGAAGGAGGCCATAGATGCCTTCATGGATGGGGAGGAGTGGAACAAGGCTAAGAGAGTGGCAAAAGAATTGGAGCCCAGGTACATCAAGGTTCAAAAATACATGGCTTCTGTCCTTGGAAAAGGCACTTTACATAAACTTTGATTAAGGAGATAAAAGGTGGTGGAAGGAGAGAGATGGCTCGACCTTCCAATACCATGCCCAAGCCTGTATGACCTAAAAAGGCTAATAGATGGGAACTTTACATTAACATTGGATCATGTAACATTGTATAGATTCCCTATTAAGTGATCTATATGCTTCCTCACCACAGGTATGAGCAGTATGTTGATGACAAGTACAAGGACTACCTGAAGAACCAGGGCAAGGTGGAATCGGTAAGAAAAACTTCCCAATCTGCTCTCTTTCAGTATAAACCTTTGTTATGAACGGAATTTGACTGTTTTCATTTCCAGAATTTTCACATTGTCTTCCTGTGTGTTTCAGCTTGTTGGAGTGGATGTGATCGCAGCCCTGGACATGTATGTGGACAGGGGACAGTGGGAGAAGTGCATTGAGACTGCAGAGGGACAGGTGAGTTCTCTCTGTGTAACTTACGAGAATGTTAATCACATCTGTAGTGAAGTAAATACAGTCATGTGAAGTACTTTTATGGAATTTCAAATACATGTATTACCATGTTGACAGCATGCAGTATTAGACATGGAAATTTGCTTGATTAATTTAAGATTGTTAACTGAATATTTCTAGAAACAACTCCTCTGCATACAAAATTTGAATTTTGCTAGTATGTTTGGTGAAAAGGGCCTCATCATGTGACAGCTAAACCTAAGTCTCCTCCTTCCCTACAGGGCTACAAGGTCCTGCACAAGTATGTGGCTCTGTATGCCACCCATCTCATCAAGGAGGGACAAACAGACAAGGCTCTGGATCTGTACGTCAAACATGGGGCACCAGCAAACCCTGCAGTAAGCTGCCCTGGACATTTCACATACACTGTAGTGCTTAGTGCATTTTTCATAATACTCATACAAATTTTATGTTTAGGCAGTGGCACCTGTCTTTGTTTCCTGGCAGCTCTGTAGGCATTCAGCAAAGTTTAATTTCAGCTAATTATACAACCTTTTGTGCTTTAGACTTTTACAAAATTTCCAGGATTTATGTGGGGTGATAAATTTTTGGAAGGAGTTTTTTGTCTTCTGATTTTAGATTCTGTTAACAGTAGGTTTTCCCTTGCACAGCTTATGCAGCTATTTTGTATCAAATTTTTTTCAGAACTTCAACATCTACAAGCGTATTGTGCTGGAGATCCTGTCCATGCCTGATCTGGACCGTGCTGACTCCTACCGGATGTGGGCTGACCTCAGAGACCTGCTGTTGGACCTGGTATGTAACGTGGTGAAAGCTGACATTGTTTCAGTGGATACAACACACATTGAAGCCTATATGTAATAGATACATGCTCCTTAAAATGCGTATCAGGAATACATGTATAGGCCACCTGATACAGCCCTATATAGTATATGAATTGTCATACATGACATATTTATGAAAATTATGCTGCTAAAAGGTAATCCAATGAATAGCAGCAACATGACATGAACGATTCATGAAAAACTTGTATTGCTCACCAAGTCCACGTCTGGTTCCACAGTGTGAGAACATGTCCAAGTCATCAGAAGCCAGCAGCCCGGCCCATGAGGAGTTTGAACAGATGCTGCAGATTGCACACTACTATGCCATCAGGTCTGCATGTATGGGACAGAAGGGCATGGTAAGTACACATGACATTGTATATGTTTGTTTGCTTGTTGTTCACATAACTGATAAACTGTCTTAAGGCCACACCAATTTAATTTGTTGGTTCTCGGATTTTTTCATGAAAAATGTGAAGCGACAGGGCGAAAAAAAAAAAAAACAATGCCCAAATGGTAAAGCTAAGGCTGGAAAAAGGGATTGAGAACAAAGCTATGACTATACATGCTAAAACATTGCTGTTTTATAGCCTATGTATCAAGGATCAATTATTGATGTTAATGATCTGCCGAATAAACATACCCCCCGGAATAAACGTACCCCCCGGACAAATTTTCAAAATCCAATAAAAATACCCCCCGGAATAAATTTACTCCCCGGAAAATTACCAAAATTGATGGGTAACCTGTGTCTCTTATGCTAAAATGTGCTCTTACTGATATACTAGAAACTGTTATGCACAAATCTTTAACTGTTATTTGCAATTAGGAATTTAAATAGACAACAAAGAGAGCATTTCTAGTACAAATGTAGACATGTCATGTTGTTGGGAAATACATACAGTCAAACCTGTAATAACGACCACCCCTGTATAGAGACCACTCGTCCATTACGACCACTTTGTGTTGGTCCCTTGAATTTTTCCCATCGACTCAAGCGTTAAGAAATCTTGCATTGCGTCTACCTGTCTAACGCGTCCAGCGTCCACATGTTTTCGGTCCCGAGACGGCCAAAATGCCAATCCTACCGTCTGAGTCCAGCCGTGAGTACGTTGCCAAATGTTGGCCAAGAAAATCCAACGGGTACCGGGTAATAAAGAATATGGGCATGATGTGGCAGCATTTTTTTTGCTAGCGTTCGTATCATAAAAGTAAACAAAATTTCGAAGTGCCGATTACTCAAAAATGGCCCCTAAAAATCCCAGCGAACCATCCCAGCATGTCGTAACTTGGCGTCGATTACGACAACTTTTCTTTTGGGAAAAATCCACTAAAATTAGAAAATAATGCTTCTCTATTGACCAGATAGGGCTCCAGATATTTTCTGGGCGATATTAGCCGGGATTTTGTCGTAAAAATGAGCCAAAACTGGTGGTAGAAGAAAGCCGAGAAATATCCAACATGGCGTCGCTGCTTGCATGAAGAAGAGGTCATTTGGGGTTCACGGAAGGTTTCATTTTTTACGGGGAAGACTGCGTAATATTTTACCCGATTTCTTGATTTTATTGCGGTAAATCGACATCGACAAATACAATACGGTAGCTAAGAATCTTAAATATTAAATGAATTGCTTAGTTTGTTAGAATTTGTTCTAATTTAGAGCTTTGAGGAGTTCGTATTTTGATGAGCACCACCCATGACAAATGGAACATTCAGACAAATTTATGCACGCCGCGATCGCGAAAACCGGCCGGAAAATGACAAGTTTCTCGCTACAATACGCGTTTATAAAGGTCTTCACGTCGAAGATTTGCCGATTTTTTTCACGCGTAGTCGAAAAAAATTACTGATTTTCAAAAAATTAATAAACGTACCGTGCAAAATAAGAACGTACCGGGTGGACGTTCGGGCCCAAAAAAATCGGCAGATGAGATGAGAGTAACAAGAATTAATTTTTTTTTCATTTTGCGATTTTTTGAAGCGGCGATTCCGAGAACCAACAAATTAAATTGGTGTGGCCTAAGGTGTAGCAAACCACTTCTTATGGTAAGTACATGTTACCTAGATAGGGCTGTAGATTGGAACCACTTACACTAGAATGGACCCCTACTAGTGATTGTTGTTTTGAGCATGTGCAATTATGTCAAAGTCAAATTGCAATGTAACCGTGTTCAATTTTCATTGACAGGAACACATTGTTGCTCGGCTATCTGTGTCCCTGTTGAGACACTCAGACATCATACCTGCTGACAAGGCCTTCTACGAGGCTGGTGTTCACTGTAAGGTGAGCTGCAAATTCCTGTATTTTGGTATTTGGAGTAAACAGAGTAAGCCTTGTTGTGCATTACGTGGTTGTAGAACAAACTTTGAAAAAAAAATTATAAAGTCTAAGTGTGAAAGTCTTCTTGTATCACAGACACCTGAGGTGAGGCTAAACAATGTAAACATTTGAATGTTGCAGAATGCTACCTCTCACAATCTCTCCCATTTTAAACTCATTAGTCATTGTTTTTAATTTTGTTTCTCTACTTAGTCCATGGGGTGGGAGAACATGGCATTTGTGTTCCTGAACAGATACCTGGATCTCAGTGAAGTAAGTAGCATGATGCTTACATGGTCATATACGTCATATTTTACAAAATACAACAAACATGTCTAATACCACATTTATCATTCTTGAATAGTTTGTTTCTTTGTTCAAGACTAGCATTTTTGCTTTGCTCTAACTTGTACAACAATCTTTATTCTGTGTGGACCAATTGAAAGTACTTGTCATGCAACAGCATTTTTTTGCAAGCGTGTAATACTCAGTCCTATAGTTATTAGTCATTTCATAACATTTTACTATTGCAAAAGTTTTGGGCCATCAGTCCTAGCCCATTTCTAACAGATACAACAAAATTCATTGATTGTTTGAACTTCAATGCATCAGCATACATAGTCATTATTGAATGTACATGTATTTGATTGTAGGCTATAGAGGAAGGTTCCCTGGACATGTTAGACAACAGTGACTTCCAGGATACAGACATCCCCTTTGAGATCTCCTTACCAGAAAAGCAACACCTTCCTGTAAGTACCACTGTCATGTTCAAGCAATTTACATAATTATACATTGTATAGGTGTATATGTACATGTATTAGCCTTACTCAGCCATAGTGCTTGATATAAACACCATGCCCCCCTCCCTGTTCAGGATGACAAGCGAGAGGAGGTGAAGGAGTGGGTGTTAGCCGTGTCCATGGACCAGCGGGTAGAACAGATCCTCCCCATGGACGAGCGTGACACGTACGAGGCCTCGCTTGTCGCCATCAACACCGGCATCCGCTCACTGCCCTGTGTCGTTACAGGTAACACACTAGCCTTTTCTTGCAAGCCATGTTTGTATCAGTGTGTATTCCTGTTAAGTTTAATTCCTTCTCAATTTCGCACCATATAGCCCTTGTGCCACACAGTTGTTCAATCACTACAGCAGGAGGCTAGTCCACTGGTAGTGGTGTGTGTTAAACTACATGTACCATACATGTGTACATACTCTTTCCCAAAATTGAAATAGTGCTAAGCAAAATATGTATATTCAAAGTATATGTAGTAATACTGTAACAATAAATTCCAATAATCATATTACAAAAAAAAATGTAACTATCATTCCTGGAAGTGACAATGCATTGTTGTTGAAGTAGCATATTTTGAAATTTACCCTCTGCACTTGTTTAGGGTACCCTGTACTACGTAACAAGGTGGAGTTCAAACGTCCAGGCAAGGCTGCCAACAAGGATGACTGGAACAAGTTCCTCATGACAACCAAGGTCAGCCTCTGTCAATGTCTTCATCTATAAATCCTTTTTTCCACTTTTCAAGAACTTAACTTAATGCTTAGCGACACATTTATTGTCTTTTAATGGTTATTGTGTTTTTCCTTCCGTGCCACAGATGACCCACAGTACCGAGTGCCAGGATGTGTTGAAGTTTGTTGGCAACTGGTGTGGGGCCACACCCAACCCCAACTTCTCCTTCCAGTAAAGTACACACAAAATGTAGGGCAGCACTGTCTGCGTTTGATACCTGAAAGGGTACCATCAGAGCCAGGTTACAAAGCATGGAGTAGTGCTTTTGCATGGTTTACAGCAATACTGCTTCTCAAGAAATAATTCATAATATTATCAACTTTAAATCAATCATTCCGTCCAGTCTAGAGGACATTTAGCTATATGCTACAATTTACTGCTGATAGCAAAGTAAGTTAGAGATATATAAACTGTGTCACTGAATTTGAAGATATACACATATTGTACATTTATTATTACATGTATCAGAGAATATTGGCATTGTAATCATGATAGAGGTTTACAAGAGTGATATTCTGATATACAGAAACTGTGCTTATTGAAAAGATTTAAATTAGCACACTTAAATAGGATGTCAGATAGATACATTGTATGTTTCCAGTGGTTATAATCACATGGTTCCTTCACAAAAATGCAAAGTACTAATAGAAAGATTTTATTTGCACATGCATGAAATCACAAGATACTGCATAAACATGTTATTTCAAGATACGGCATTCCTAGCAGATCTTGTTGAGTTTTTGTGCTTTGTAGTCTGTGTGTTGTAGTTGTCACAAGAGACATCAGGGACAGTTGTCATGTTTTCTGAAGTGTACCAGACTTAACTCCAAACCAGTACTTATATGTATATGTTGCACTGTAATGTATGGTTTTCATGAACAGAGGTAAATAAAAGTTAATCAATTTGTGGTGAAAAATGCTGTCTCCTGTTTTACTGACTGTGTTAATTTGCCTCTATTGGGCCTTCCTAAAGGTGAGGAATAGTACTAAAACTTGGCAACTTAGGACATAAAAATGAAGTGCGACAAAATACTTGAAAATGGGTTTTAATCTCAGTAAACATTACTGCTCCAAATGAGGCCTCTTGATATCACATTGTGGAAAAGTATAAAAAGCTATCAAAGCTACACACATAATACATCTTTCAACGTGTCATAATCTGTTCATATGTGTGTAGGCAACTGCTTTTACACACTTTATTGCACATTTTGGAGGATTTTCAGTGGGTTCAACTTCAAACATCTTGTGAATTGAATCCTCACTTAGCAAAAACTTTTTTTAAAGAAGAGGAATTGTGTCCCACAATATTGTCTTTTAACACAAAAGTATCCTAGACATTCTATAAATCATTAACACAGAGAAGATATAATTCACACTCAATTCTCCTGTAGTATATAGTGAAATGACAGTTATTAAAACAACAATATTTAATGCATCCTTTAGTGGATATTATAAGCCTGATATTTAATACAGAGATGCTGCCATTTATATGTATCATAGTAATTATCTCAACCTTGTTGGTAGTTGCATTTTTGAATGGTTAAACCTGGTTCTCCTGGTCATTCCTTGATGTAGGGAATCAGGTTCTTGATGAACCATTCCTTGCTGAACTGGAGATGGTCAGTGTCGGAGCTAAGGAAGACCAGCTTCCCCTGACTGTCCATTTCCTTCAGACCAAGGCGATCCTGGGCAATTGAGAAAAAAAAATATGTTGTTATACTTTTGTCTAACTTATAGTTTCTAAAATCGTCTGACAAAGGAGGGACAAGTATTGCAACTTTTCAGCACCCATTTAG